AATTGTTGATATTAAATTAGAGATTGAAACTGCAGAAAATGTGCCAGCAAATACATCTGCATATTGTTTGATAATACATGATAAAGTGTTTGAGTACAATCCTTTGTCAAATGAGATAAATAAAATGTAAATAAAAGATGAAAAACATTCAACAAGAATTGGTTGACTCTGCAAATCAAATACGAGAGAAATATAGAGCTTTAAAACGTGGCAAGTTTCTAGAGGCTGAAGAGAGGTTCCAAACATTCCAACCTTTAATAGAGCCATTACAAGAATTAAAGAAAATCACATCTATTGGCAAAACAGAGAGTCCTCGAATGGAGATACTCCCAATGACTCCATCTAGAATATCAATGATACCAAGATTACAACCATTACAGCAATCCACTCCACAGAAATTAGATTTTGGTCTTTTAGCATCAGACTATTTAGGAAATTACCTCAGTAAAAGTAGTATGACAGACACTACATATGGTATTAGACGAGAAGCAAATAAATTTTTTATTGGAAATAAGGAAGTTGATATTGCCAATGATGATGTTACAGTTGCAAATAAAACCTACAAGGGGACAAAAGGTTTGTGGCAGTTGTTAACTTTAAAAGAACCTGAGGATTATACTCAGGCTGATTTGCAAAATTATAAAGAGATTTTGGAAGCTACAAATGGACATTTAAAGAGTTACAAAGATGGTGCACCAATTTCAAGTAATAGACATACTAAATATCTTAATATAATTAAACCTCTTTTTAAATCTGTTGGTGAAGGTTTGAGACAAGTGACTGGTAATAAAATAGACTATATTTATTGGGATGATCCTAATGAGCTTATAGATAGGTTAAGACTTCTTTGGCTAAGTCGCCAAGCCGGTAACTCAGGAGTGGATAATGAAATAGATTCCATTATTGAGGAATTGAGAGAAAGTGGAATTATTTATTAAATAAAAATATGTTTATAGATAAATTTTATCGTTTATATAATCCATATAATAAGCCTGCAGAACCCAGGGCTAGTAATGAACCTACTTTAAATTTACAAGACGATAGTTGGAATTGTTTAAACCGTAAAATTGGTAATGTTAAAGATGGGGAGTTTGTAGATGATGTATCAACTTTGGGTCAGACATTAACTAGAAAAGGTGATGTATTTTTACAAGGTAAAACTAAATATGAGTTTTTAGAATCTAAGAATAAAAATTGGAATGCTAAAAAACAGAAAATTACTAATGTGGAAAAGGGTGAAAGTTTAGATGATGTGCCCACTTTACAACAGACTTTAATACGCAAAGATGGCAAATTTGTACAAGACAATAATAATTTTGAATTTTTAGAATCAGAAAATGGTGTTTGGAATGCTAAGAAACGGAAAATTACTAATGTGGAAAAGGGTGAAAGTTTAGATGATGTGCCCACTTTACAACAGACTTTAATACGAAAAGAAAATGGTAAATTTGTACAAGACGATAATAATTATGAATTTTTAGAATCAGAGAATGGTGTTTGGAATGCTAAGAAACAGAAACTTAGCAATTTGATAGAAGGTACAGATAGTAAGGATGCTGTGAATGTTTCACAAGTTCCAAAAATGGAAGCAGGCTATTGGGATTTTAATAATAAAAGGTTAGTACGTGTTAAACCTGCCGTTGATGACACTGATTGTGTTACAAAAGAACAGACTATAACTTTTGATAAAAAAGAAAAATGTTGGGATGCCAAAAAACAATATATAAGAAATCTGCCAATGGGGGAATATTTAGATGATATTTGTTTAATGTCACAAGCTATGTATTATGATGGATCAAAATTTGTATATGGAGGAAGAAAATTTAATTTGATGGAATACAATCCTGATTTATTAGTTGCCGACCCTACATCTTTGAGTGGATTTAAGTATATAGATAATAGACCATATATACCAGAAAACTATGTATTTAAAAGAATGGAAGATAATCTATTGATTGGGGCTAATGGTAATATATTTACAGTACAAGGAAAGAGTGATGTTATAAAAAATGAATGAAATTGCATACGAACTTCATAAGCCTGCAAGAAAGAATTTCATTAGAAGGTCTTTTAAAGTATTAGGTATAAACGAAACTGTACAAATAGATTTAATTGATATGCAAAACTATGCTAGAGAGAATTCTGGCAATAAATATATTTTAACTTTAATAGATACATTTTCTAAAAAAGCTTATGCTGCTCCACTAAAGAATAAGACAGGGCTGGTGGTTACAGAAGCCATTAAAACCATTCTACCAAAGGGGGTTAAAAACATTCAATCTGACAATGGAAAAGAATTTTTTAATCAATATTTTAGCAAACTAATGAAAAAATTAAATATTAATCACTATCACACATTTTCTACAACTAAGGCTGCAATTGTGGAGAGGTTTCAGAGAACTTTAAAGAATTGGTTATATAGGGAATTTAGTGCTCAGGGGAGTTATAAATGGTTGGATTTACTTCCAAAGTTAATTCGAAAATATAATAATAAGGTGCATAGATCTATAGGAATGAAGCCTAACCAAGTGAATATTAAGAACAGTAAATATGTGCATGAGAGGTTGACTTCTAAAGTAGTGCAAGTTAAAAAGCCAAGATATAAGGTAGGTGATAGTGTGAGAATTTCTAAGTATAAACATGTTTTTAGTAAAGGATATACCCCGAATTGGACAGGGGAGCTATTTACAATAGCAGAAGTAAAGAATACAAAGCCTGTGACTTATATCTTGAAAGATGAAAATGGTAATATAATCAGGGGAGGCTTCTATACAGAGGAATTGTTAAAGACCAAATATAAAGACATGTATTTGATAGAAAAGGTTATTAGGAGAAAAGGTGATTTATTATATGTCAAATGGCTTGGGTTCCCAAGTAGCCAGAATTCATGGATTTCCACTAAGGATGTCCAAGGGAGCGCGCCATGAGCTGGGAGCACGCACGAGTTCGCGTACAAACCTCGCACTGTCAAGTTGATGATTTTGAGAATATACATGTGAATGGGTGTTGGAGATGGATTTGAAATTATACAATATAGATATGGAGTTGTACATTTATATAGGCTTGTATAGGCCCAAGAGTAAGTTTAAGAGGTATATCCCAAAAGACAAAGAAATGAAAATATTAAACAACTCATACAACTAATATATATAGATAAGACAGAAATATAGACTACAACATATCAACATATCAACTAGAAAGGGGAATGTTAGATGTACTAGCAATTAGGCATGGGCGGGGAGTTGGCTCAAAAACCTCGCGCCCCAAAAAACGGCACCGACAAACTATACTACTATACATATACACATGCATGGGTCAATAATTTTTTTTTTGCTTAATATCAAATATATATAGGGAATAAGTAAGAAATAAGGTTTAACAATTATATAGGGATATTTAGGCAAAAATCAGGATTTTTGGAATTGGTGGCCAAAAAATGATCCCCATAAGAATAACATGGGAAAAATGTGCCTAAAGTGGGGTATCTTTGCTAGTTCACCACTACTGCCATGTGACTCTGTTTTAACGCATTTTTTGCATTAAACTTAAATTAGGTTAAGTATTGGTAGCATATGTTTGTAAGCTCGGCTCAGAATATGCACGTTAGTGTTGAATTCGTATGTTGGTGGTTGGTATACTGCATACGACAGCAACGTAATAATCCTAAAATCTTTTTTTCCGCAGAATACCCTTAGGCCTACAGTTTTTTCGTATCAGAAAGCTCAATTGGTCAACTGGTTATAAGAAGAGCCTCACAATCAATACACAACAACCCAATACTTCCGAAAAAAAACTAGGTTTATTGTAACACGTCTTCTCGTCTTATTACTGTCAGCTATCTCCAATCTTTATCGTCAGCCCATTCTTACTTAATGAAGACATAAAACGAGAAAAACTGCAAATCTAGTTTACTGACTCATTACCGCAAACTATAAACTCGTTACGCTTTCGCGACCGATAGTGACGGTTATCTAAGATGGCGGACGCGGGAAAATTGACGCTAAACAAATTGGCGCGCAAACTGGCGGAAGTGGATATCGGTAGCGTACGTGTCGACGTGTTAATCATAGAGGAAAGTAGTGAACAGCTGTTGATCAGCGAACGACTCAGCTGACAGTCGCTCAGTCATTTGAGGCACCGTCAATGTGAGGTTATGCGGGGTTATCTGTGAAAGCGACAGCGTCTGTAGTGTTGTGCGCATGCGTTGTAACCGCGCCGCCGCGCCGTCTGCTGTCGCTCTCTGTCAGATGTTATCTATGAATTATGGGACAAAGGTCACCCTCCCCTCCCTCGCGATAGAGAGCTACTGGTGGTCTGGGCGTGGACACTGATTTGCTATCATAGCTGGTTAGAAATCAACAAGTAAATGATGATTCATATTGTATGCGAAATATCATTGGTAAACAATTTTTTTTATTGTTTAGTCATTATAAACGAGCAATGGTGGCAGAGAACAGGTTTTATTGCCTAAAATCCAATCCTTGGACTGCAGTAATCAAATTGATCTAAAAGCAAATTGTATAGGTGGATTATAGCAATCAAATTATTTTCTTTACACTGGAATTTCTTTCCAAGATAAGTTGATAAGTTATTCTAAAAATTACCTAGAACTAGGCTGTCTTTATTTTCCAGGATGAAAAAAATAGATTTAGCCTATGTGTTGGTGTGGGCCTTCTTTTTTGAGCTAGACATAATAAATCCTGATCGACCAAGAACACCTATGGGATGAATGTCACAGCAGCTCAAAAATCTTGGTCTGAAGTAGTAGAAAATTTCCGAACATTGTTCTTGAAAATTTCTTGATTATATGGTGACTATGAATCGGAGGTAGTCTGATATTATAGTGCTTGAAGTATATTGAGCCACTCAAAATGAATGAATTTTAAACTCCTCCTTCTTACAATCACTGTTAAAATCACTGTTTGGTTTTTTACAGAATTTTACTTTTTGTACCTATTGTCAGTCGAAACATTATCACTCAAGTATTTTTCTTGTTCCAGGAGCCTGAAGTCGCCTCTCCCTTAGACAGTGACGAAGGAGAGCCTGTTCACAAACACCCTAGACTTGGCAGCAGCCCTTGGCATTCGTCCTACGATCAGGTAGGCACAAAATACTTACGGTAGTTAAAAAAACATAGAAGAATGAATTTTCTTCTTAGCAAAGCTAGTTGAAAGATGCACAACCTCATGGCATAATTTCACCTAAAGGTTTTTATTTATAAAAACAGAGCATACAGTGTTTTGCTCTCTTAGAATATTTCCTTTACTATCTATTGACTGTGGATGCTATAGTAAAATATCAGTAAGATAACATATCAAAAACATAGTTCAGTCTTCCGCTTTGTCCTTGGCATGAAGAACTGTGAAATTACACACACAGTCTTAATGCCCATGTGGACAGGCCTATTCAATATTAACACGTTCGCGGCGGCACGTCAAATGGCGGGCGTATCCCCAGTGCCCTCAGTGTCGAACAAACCCGATTGCCGCGTTTCCAATTTCGGTCTGACGAATAGCAAATAACGTGCGAGGATGTCCTGCTGTACGAGAGTCGACGTAGTTTGCTAAACACCCACAGATAGTAGCACTGCTTGGAACGTAGCCGGTCCCATTGGAATTGTATTGCCAAATGTAGGGAAAAAGACGGGACAAAAAGTAGATTTTTGAGATTGCCAGACGGGGATTTTACGGGGAAATTTACTACCAACCTACACCACAACAATACAGTATACTATTGAGCAGTGCTGTGCGAGGTTTCAAGTTTCTAGCTCTAATCCTGGCTTAAAAATAAATTATTTCGTACTGCATTGCAGCTTGGGAGCGATCGCACCCATCAGGATGGCATTAGGGTTCCGCATATGCCGCCGCGAACGTGTTAAAAGAAGAAAATAACCTAGCTATTTGTTAGGAGATGTATAACCATCGGAGAATGTGTATTAAGATAATCTTTGCATCCTTTACTCATAATTTGTTTATGTCTAAACCGTTTAAATTTACATATTTTTGCAGGATGATGATGGTGACTATTTAATGGAACAGAGCTCGTGCTCAACGAACGACATGGTTGGCCCCCAGAGCGAACTCGCCTCCTTACCCCCCACCTTCCCTACCGCAACCTCCCCTACACTCCTCGTCCGCTCTGGGACCACGGAAGAAGACTTGCTCAACGACAACTACACTTTGTACGATCGACGGCAAGGCGTCAGCGTACCACTTGACGCCGCCAGGAAACTCTTCTCCGATGAAAGTTCAATATTCACAAGGTAACTTGAATAAAGGAGTAATTAGAGTATAGTATTCCCCCATAACTTGGATGATTTGAATTTCAAGTTCTCTGGATGGTTGAAAATCAAAATTAAATAAAATAATTTTTGTATATGGGAAAGCAGCACTATTTCAGTACTGTTTGGCCACCTTTTGTATATAATGAAACCTCTTGTACTGTAAAATAATTGTTTAGTGTAATAATTCTAAACACTTCTTGGTATTTTTGGTTCACAGCAACCATCCTAACGACATTAATGTCTTATAACTTCTCATACAGTGACGATTGCAAATTGAGAAATTACACTTTAGAACTGCGTAGTTTAGAGCAAATCGTTTTTTTTTTTTAATTCAGTTGAATGAGATCCATATATATTCTATGAATGCTGTTTGTTAAGGGTGCGCTCTACCCCTTCCGTTTTTTGTAAACGCAAGGGTCCGGGGCAACCGTGTTACCGAAGGCTACACTTAATGTAGAATCAAAGTTAGGGTGGCATTTTGAAGAGGATTAAATTATCTAGATTGTTGTGGTTTCAATATGTTTAATATCGTACCATAAAGCCTACAAATCTTCTTTGAATATATATGAAAAACTGCAATTTTAAACTGCTATAATATAATAATATTATATTAATTATTATAATATATAATATAATTAGTTGTAATTCTAATTATTGAATTATTACTTTAAAATCCTAAAACCAGGGTTGCATAGATTATTCTTTGTTCTGTAAAACCCCACTCATTGTTTTTTACTACATGTACGGGTAGTTTAAAAAGGCAGTTGCCCTGAACGTCTACAAGCGCTTCTCGCGGCGCTGTTCAATGGAGCAACATAGCTACTGAAGCCCGAGTTGAGATTTCCGAGCTGAGGCAGAGCGCACCCTTAAGCAAAGTCTATACTAAGCAGGGCCCAGATTAATAATCGTTTATTATACTCATATGATTATTTACCCTTTCAGGTCAATAAGAGATCCCCAAAGTGTTCTTTTACTTTATGTTTCATGATAATTACCCATCCCAAATAGTAAAAGTGTGATCAAAAGTGCATATTAATGGTTCTTATTAAAACATCTATGCATAACAGCCCATTTGAATTTGGTGATAGAATTTAAAACTCGTTTGTTAAAAATAGCTTATTGTTTGAGTCGCTATAGGTTTTATAATTTTAAAAAAATATTATTAATATGAAGTTAGTATGTTGTTGGTAATGTTGCACTTATGAGTAGTTTGCCCAGAAACTGACTTAACTCTTTTATTCCAGTGAACCTACCTCTTTGGGGAAAAATTCGTAAGTTTCAATAGCTAATTTCCCCATTGAATGGTTTTCAAAAATCTGTTTTGAATGTTGTTTCGTATTACCTGTGATGTTCATTTAACAATTTGTCTTAAATTATGTTCACTTATTTTTATTGTCTCAGTTTTCTTGTGCTATTATAACTTTACCTTTTAACCTTTATAACCAAAACCTGCTTCTTAATTTTAAAACATTTTAGTTTTAGAGGCATATGCATTTATTTTGTTTTAACCAGCATGATGTTTGTTTTGTAAATAATTCAATTTTGTTCAAAAGTCCTACATTTAGGTTTTAATAGACAGTTTCTAATTCTTTGATACTACATTTTAAACTTCATTTTAAAGCTAAATCATGTCGTTAATTAGTTATCTAATTTAAGTTAAGCCTCAAACTCATTGACCAAACTAATTATCGAACTAACCTGTTTCAATACTGTATGTCATCATCTTGTATGCATAAAGATACTAGCACACCTAATACAATCCATTAAATGCTTTGTTTTATAACAAAATAATGTATCTTTTATTTTGTTTTATTATTTGAATTTTTATTTTCATTATCTCATTTTCTGTATTAGTTATTGAATGTAATAGTAACTTAATAGTTTTAGATAAAAACAATTAATCTAAAATTTTGATATTTGACAAAGACTAATACTTTGTTTTGTTTGTTGTAACGTAAGAAAGTAACATTATATTTTTTAGTAAAGCTTATAAAATATTAAGAGCATGTATTAAAAAAGGTTCTATATTGTGAAATATTGAGTACAGATAAACTAGTTCTACTGTTATAACTTTGATTGGTTCTCCCAATCTCAGTTTTTGAAACAATTTCATTATTTTGCTGTTTTTAATTTTGTATACAGTGTGTAAATTAAGTATGGAAACAAATCTGTATTTTTAAAACCGAAATAGATAGAAATATTCTATTTGTGGCAATAATAGTTAACAAAGATTCCGCAATTTTTCACATGAAAAATATTTTTTTACCACCCTAACAGGGTAGGTGGTAGGGGGTGACTTATTTTTTTCAAATAGCAACCCCTATTGAGTGACCCCTCATTTTGAAGGGTTTGTCAAAAGAAACACAATGACGCAAATCCGAGGTGAATATCTCACTCCTAGCTAACATGGCGGATATTCCAAAATGGGCTTTTTTTTACAAAAATTAAATTTTTCATTACCCACCATTTAGGCTAGGGGTGAAATATCTACCTCGGGTTTGCGTCATTCTTTTTCTTTTAACAAACCCTTCAAAATGAGGGGTCACTCAATAGGGGTTGTTGTTGAAAAAAATAAGTCACTCCCACCCCCCTACCCTGTTAAAGGGGTTGAAAAAATATTGTTGATTAAAAAAATTGCGGAACCTATGTTAACAATCAATTCCACAAACAGAATATTTCTATCTATTTCGGTTTTAAAAATACAGATTTCTTTCCATTATTTGTGAAATTGGTGCTTTTCACGTACAATAAATCAAATTTTGGAATATCCGCCATTTGGGCTAGGAGTGAGATATTCACCTCGGATTTGCGTCATTGTGTTTCTTTTGACAAACTCTTCAAAATGAGGGGTCACTCAATAGGGGTTGCTATTTGAAAAAAATAAGTCACCCCCTACCACCTACCCTGTTAGGGGGGTAAAAAAATATTTTTCATGTGAAAAATTGCGGAATCTTTGTTAACTATTATTGCCACAAATAGAATATTTCTATCTATTTCGGTTTTAAAAATACAGATTTGTTTCCATACTTAATTTACACACTGTATACAAAGTATTTTTTTCTTGCAATGAAATTGAATTTTTCAAATTTTTAACCTGTTGGGTATGGTAGTACATAATCTTTTTCTGTGTATCCTGTTTGTGGATTTAACACTCTGCAACGTGATCAGAATCTAGACTGATAACATAATTTATATGGAGGTGGGTGGTGGGAGGAACCTATTGTTTCTACATCCAGCTAATTCACATTTCACTATTTTAACTGAGACAAGAATATTAACAATAAATTAACACTGTTATAAAGATGTGTCAACCTCCTAAGGTTGTGGTTATAATGAGCAGCATCACACTCTTTAAGGGTGATTTAATGGGGTAGTATATGGATGAGTTGTAAAGTGAATCAGTATTTGTTTTTTAATTTACATTCTGTAAGCGCGGCAAGTGAAAAGCAAAGCCGGAAAGTGAGATGGGTACAGCTGTTTACCTATTTGTAAGATTACCTTCATGGCTGAAGAACCAAACTATTTCCTCATAATCGTATAAGGCCGAACAATTTTCAAACTGTGCGTTTTCAAACATAGCAATCGAAAAATTAGGTGAACAAATTTTGAAAGTGTACTCAGCGTACTACTATGTCTTCGTAGTATAATACAAGCGTCTTAATTTACTTTTTTAGACAAATCGTCAATTCATAGTATAAACATACTCCCTGATAGATTTGCCATCCTTTTGGATCATCTAAAGGCATTAAAACCAGTTTTTTTCTGGGTTCATGTAGAGGCAATTTTTATTTACAAATTTAACTTCTAGTTTTAGCTTTTAGCTTACCTGCTAGGATGACCTAAGAGCAAAGCACAAGATGTAAGAGCCACAGAAATAGGATTGGAACATTTCACGGCTTGCAAGACCAGGTAGCGTAAGTACATATGATAAACCTATGTACTTAAGCTCCTTTGTCTTGAAAGCCACAATTTAGTTGGGAGCGTACTCAAACATAATCAACTGAAACACATTTCAAAACTTCAAGTTTTATTGTACAATGAGTGTACCTGCTCTCATTGTGTTACGGCTTGTTAACATTTAATGCATGGTTTCTGTCCTATAACTATCCTATTTCTGCTCCAGGTCAGACCGGCCTGCACAGAACTGCGCGACCTTCTACTTCAAACATTGCGACACAGAGTCGGAGCAGGAGGACAGGGGCAGAGAGAGGGAGACAGAGGAGACGGAGCCAGTAGCGATGGACACGGACAACAACAAGGAAGACTCGTCGGAGGAGGAGTGGACGTACAAGTGTGGCGAAGACTCTGCCTTCACACACTCTACAGAGACACTGGCCTCCGCACCCAGGTATACCACTGGTTGCTAACTAGTAATCACTTTGTATGTCACCATAGACAATGAAATATTTGTAGTCCTGTAGATTCTTGTTTAATCAAGCTTAACAAGTTTAACCCAGTTTAAGTTCCTATTTCATTATAACTAGGCTACAGTACTACATTTTACCAATTATAATCCATTATCACAAATAAATAAAAAAAAATTAATAATAACAATTTTAGTAATGTTCCAATTTTAGTATATGTACTGCCGAAGCACAAAGTCAACACACTCCTACTGTAACTGTAAAATATGAAAGATAAAGCATTACATCTCCACTCTGCCACTGGACTTGGCTCCAACCATAACTTGACGTGAGGGGTAGTACTCTAGTGTTGTAAGATAGAAATTACAGTTAAGTGCAGGTCTTGACATGCATTTTCTTAGGACAATCAGGGTTGTTTCTAAACATCTGCTACTGGGTATAGTAACTCATTTCATGGTGATGTTGTATTTGGGAAAATGCAGTTTGTTTCAACACTTTAAGTTAGCCAACTTACTTTGGACAAACACATAAAGGAGTCGAAATTGTCATAGCTAATTTCTCAGGTTGTTTGATAAAGGATAAATTGGAAAAAATGAAAAAAGATGATAAATGATAAATGTTAAAAAATCTTACTGTAAAAAGTCATCATTGGCTGGAACTTTCATAAATGAAGCCTTCGTATATCGGCAATTTATTCATAAGAAGTGTGTGTGGCTGCCTTACTAAAAAAATATCAAAACAAACCTAATTTTTTGAAGAAACTCAAATCATTCTTAATCTGGCTCGCTATAGTAAAGATGAGTTTCTAAATCAAAAATGAATTAGCTATCCATTCTAAAATAATTGTCAAATTGTATGGTTAAGTCTTTTAGATTAAATTGTATAACCAATTGTGTATGCTTTGACACTATTCATGTATGTCAAATGTATAAAGTGAATAAAGATGATTTGATTTGATTTGGAATACGGAGTATCGTACATTCCTCAGATTAAAAATAATGCAATTTTTAAATAATTCATTATTTTTCCCATTTTATGTGGTGTATTTAGTGAGGTGTGATCATGGGATTTACTTGCAAGGCTGGTACAGCCATTTACTTGTTGTACCTTGACAATCAATGTCTCATCATACCTAAACAGACTATACTTCCACTAAGCTTATTAACAGTTTCTATCCTAGACCAAAATTCTGACAACTTCTCTATGTGATTTTTTTGTCCCTTTTACAAACCACTTCTGTCCGCAGGTCTACTAAGCCAGAGTCTCAGCCACTGCCCAAGCCTCAGCTGCAGAAGCTCATAGAAGGGGCTGTAGAGATTGTCCACTCCTCCCCCTCCCGTCCCCGCACCTTCCCTCCTCTTATCTTTGAGACTGCTCGGGCCAGGTCCAAAGTCAGCGACTGGATGATGAGGGCTTGGGACCCCGAAGACTGCAAGGTACAGATTAGATGCATGTTGACGTTTTTTTCTAGGCTATACAGTGTTCAATTAGGAGAAAGATAAAATGGGCATACAAATTTAAAATTAATAGAGCATAAGAGATCTTCACATAGAGATTGGTACTGAGATGGTAATCTGGTTAGTGTAAAGAGCGCAAGCTGTGTCCAGGTTGAAATCCTGCCAATAATGAGTAAAAAGAAACAAACTAGAACTACTCTGTGAAATAAGTCATGTTATTGATTTTAATTTTGCTCAAAATAACTCTTGTTGTGATTCAAGTTCTAATGTTATAGACACTTGTAAACTTTAATATCTTAAACATAGGTTTCTAAATGTTGTAAAAGGGTCTCTTTAACTATAATAAATACCTAAAGAGTATTAATAAAAGATTTAAAGCTGAATTTTTACAGTGTTTACAAATTTTGCTCAATTAAAACTTGAGTTAGCGAAATCCTAAGTAAAAAATTTAAATTAATTCTAAAACTACATACTAAGTTAGAGAACAGAAATTGTCTGTGCTGGCTTCAGTGGGGTGACATTAATTAAAATAACGTAAAAACGACTGTTGAAGATATCTTTGAACCAAAATAACCATTAATTTCATTAAATGGTAAAAAAGTAGGTTTTTGGGAACAGGCTACGCTCACTCTGATTTTTTCACTTGATAGTGGTTTTCCTTTAAATGTTGTTGCTAATCTCCCAGACCATTGTGTGTTCTTAAGCCCATTGGTTTAGCTACTGCAGTAGATTCTAAAGTAACAAAAATGTTACTTTAGAATCTACTGCAGTAGCTAAGCCAATGGCTAAAAAAATTGTATCTTCAGTTTTGTTATTTTTCATTCCAAATGACAAGTTTTCACCTCAATCTTGCTGCCTGTTTAGGGAGAGAGCTGTGATGCCAGTGGAGAGTACACCACTGAGGAAGAGGAGAGACAATCCTCGGGAGACTTCAACCACTCTGCCTTCCTGCCTTCACACAACAGCACGGAGGTTCTGTCTACTCTGGACACTACTCTGACTGAGAAACATCTCCCAGTCAGTCCTGTCAATGTCCCGGAACACTTCAAGGTGGGTGTAGACCAGAGTGGGTCTCTACTAATGTAGCACTATGTGATGATAAGTTTCAGCATAGTAGGTGATAATGGAAAAGCAACACTCCTGCCAAGTATGATTTCCTTTTTTGAATAAGTTACTGTGGGAAGGGAGTCAGTCCTTAAGGAAATCTGTTGCAGATTGACAGATTTGGATGAAGAAGAGTGTTTAGGTATGAAAAAGTTGAAAATGATAGTTCTAAAAATCTGTTCAAATCTGGTCTGAGATGGTTAACACATGTCATGATTACCATAAAGCATCTGGTTGTTTAGGTGTTTTATTTTGTTAGTCCAGACAGGGCAGATTTAGGTTGGATAATTGAGATGCTTAAGTTTCAAGAATGTGACTGACCTCGGCATGATTTTTTCAGATCTCCCCAGTAGTCCTAAGAGCCAAGAGGAAGGAGGGAACACCCAAGAGGCCGCTCAGTGAGTCGGGACTTCCTCAGATTGTGAACGGAGATGAGAAACTGCTTCAGTGTCGTAGTGAGTCTGCGCTTCATCAGATAGACCACACACCCACGCAGAGGTGAGTCATTAACTTGTCTGCTTAATAATAGTCTGTGACCAATGTGCTTAGGGTGCTTCAAAATTAACACCTAACCGTTTTGGCGTAGTCCCTAAAGTATTTTCTTTTTTAAGATTCACTGGTAAACGTTAATGATTTTAAAATGTCATTTTCACTTTAAAGTTTATCATGAGGATTTTATTCTTGATCCAGTGACTTAGTCAATAGCACGATGGACTGTGAAACCAAGGCAGTTATGTTGTGGCTTTGCTTCCCAGTGTTGACAATTAAATTTATCAGTACAGTTTATTCATTTATCTGTACCGGCTCATCACTTGCTAAGCTTGTTATTCCACACACAGGGCTTTAAGGCCCCTATGAACAAGCAAATCCATGTTCAAAAAAGGCCACCAACCTCTTTTTATAGAAATAAATCTTAATTGTTGATGTGGATGGGTACATAATTTCAAATTGTCAAATTGTATTGAATCTAGGGATGGTCAAGTCTCGAAATTTCGGGAAATTTTAAATCTCGTTACACGAGACGAGATTTCTTTTTGGCCGAGATTTTTATCGAGACAAGAATAAAAAAAAAAAATAAAAAAAAAAATAAAAACGCCTGCAGAAAGTCAATGCAATACCCGCAATACAGGAGTGTGTTGTAGTTGCGTTTCCTTTGCGAAGGCGTTCTTATTTAATTAATTCTTTAAATGTATATATTACTTTAATTATTTTAATAATATGCCTATTACTTTAATAACATTTGAGAAGTTTTGTTAAGTGTAAGCAGTGTGAGGAATGCTTTATTACTACAAAAAGTCAAAACAAGTAACTATTTTATAAAAATTAATATTGCTTTTATTTTATGATTTATTTTATTTTAGGATAAGTTGAACTCTATCCTAACTGATATCACTATGTTTCCTTATCGTAGGCATTTTTAATAAGTTAGGCGTGATTAATAAAAAATTGTATGCTGATGTTTTTTAATAAAAGATTGTAAATATTCTTGCCTATTATCATTATTTTTGTATTTAAACAGTCATCTAACAATGTTACAAAATCAGGTAAAAATTTTGAACGTGCATTTCCCGTTGTGTATGAGAAGGGAAATCCCGTCTCGAAATTTTATGAGAAATAAAAAATCTCGTCTCGTCTCGTCTCGAACTAAAAATCCAATCTCGTCCATCCCTAATTGAATCTGGAGGTAAAATGAAAAAACTAAGACTGAGTCAGAATTCTTCAAACCACAATGTTTCCTAGTTCCTCAAAACCTAAATTTCAATGAATCAGGAGAATGAAATGAATCGTACATTTTCTAAAAGTATTGTTTCTTCAGAAAATTTGAACATTAGTTGGAAGTTATGAAATGCAGTAGAAACTTGACGACAAGACTCTCAAGGGTATGATTGAATTAGAATTGTCATCAAGGTTCGTAGTAATACGTGATGGTAAAATAAATTCAAAGTGATTTGAAAATCCTGCTTGTTATCAGTTAACAAGGGTCTTGTTTTCGAAGTTACACTGTGTATTCACTTCATGATGCAAGTAGAAATGTAAATTTCAATTTTCTAATGTTGTATGTGTGTTCAGTGTCAAGATGGATACGTCAGTACACACGACCTTGTCATCGTCCACAGTGGAGGAGACTGTTGGAGGTCAGACACAAGAGGGCAGTTGCGGTGGTTACAGTTCCAACTCTCTGCGGCGCAGGAAGATCAAGATGCGCAAGCGGAACTTGGTAAGTGTCTGCGCCCTGCGGGGGGTTAAGGACTTGTGTTATTAACAAAATTCTGCTATTACCATATTAAAAAAGTGTTTGAATAACCCAACAAAGCAATAAGAAATTTGCTTAGTCTGCTGGTTTGCTGTGATGAGGGTGCATTTTGATCGTAACAAGTAAACTAGGCCATTATAATAAATGGTACGTTTAAGTTGTGTAATTTAAACATTTGCAAATATTATATCAGTATATTATTTTTAAGCATTTCGTAGAATTTGCAAACAAACATGTGGGAAATGATTGTAATCATTATAATTTGCTTTTTAAGTGCCAAATTTCCAATAGAGTCACAGCACTGTCTAAAGTAGTGACAATCTCTTTGCTATCCATAGTACTACCGCCATCAGATTTAAGGTTATTTACCAGAATTTCATTTGGTTTTGGTGGAAAATGACAGAAGAGGTGACTCGCCACGATACTTCAGGTCACCCAGTTCCTGCTAGATTCATACCTGTTCCTCAAGCCTAATCATGCCATTATGTCTTTGGGAGAACATCATCATTCCCTTTGCTGGTCTTTGATCAAACTATCTTTGGTGGCCTGTTTTTTTTCTCTTGGCAATAAATTCTTACCTACTCTTAATAACATATATTTCTAAGAAACCTTGAATATTAAACATTCTTTGAAGTTCTTAAAACAGAGACTTTTCTTTATTGTTGAAGTATTTTCTGCTATTTACTATGTATATTCTGTTTCATTCAATTCCTGTGAACTCACACCTGATATTTCTCGCAGGGCAAGAAGAGTGAGTCAGGGTCAGACAATCACGACCCACCGTCCCCACTCAAGTCCCCGCACGCAGTTGCTCGACGTGTTGCGTCTAGTGGCACAGAGACAGAGGAGGACGCGGAGGTAGAGCTGCGTAACCGCATTGCACGACGCAAGTGCAGCACAACTCCCAACTTCAAGCTAGGTCCTGAGGGTCTGGTCACTGTGTTTTCAACGGCAGAAAAAGCCCTCTCTGCTGATAGCTCTTTCTCCGAGCAGGCTTGGGACAACTACCAGGTAAATATATATTTTGGATAATCTCAAATTCTGTTCATCATGAAGCTACTACTGTACAATGTATAGGTAACATTGTATAAGAGAAAATAAATTTGCTAATACAAAAGTGTTAATTATTTATTTATTTTAGCTTAATGACGATTCCTGCTTTAACACATGAGTTTTTTAATCGATTCGTAACTGTCTTTTATCATACAATACCTATGACTAATAAACCATAATGAGAGTTGTGAATCATGAGATAGTGAAACCAAGCAATTATGTTTTACTGTACCTCTTCTTAAGATCCTGGACCACAAAAGATAGACCACAGACAAGGTAAAGAAAAGAATGTTATCTATAGTTGAATTTGAAAGACAACCTGTTGGCTCCTACAAGTGTATGTATGTTGTGGTTTACAGGAGAAGTACATGAGTGAAGCGTACAGTGAGGATGCCCCAGACCAGGAGACTGCTCGCAGACTGCTGGAGTTTGGTGAGGACTATCGTAACTTTCTGGACAGCCAATCAGACGGCGGCGCCTCCAGCCTGGGGCTTGGCCGTGGTGGCTACCTGAGACGGAGAAAGTACCTTGTATGTAAACACCATGCAAACTAAACTGTAAGCTCTATTGTTCTTGAGAATTTTTTGGAATATGTTGACTAACGATAAAGAGTACTCATGGTTCAAAAAGGTTTGTGTTCCTCAATCAGCCAACCTACCCATTTTACATTGAGAGTTTGCATTGGGAGTTTGCTTTGATGGTTGTCTGTAAAATAAAAACTCAATAAAATCAAGTCATGGCCAAGCTATTTAGCTCAAATCTGAAACATGCTCTTTCCTTCCCACACTACCATTCTAGCTGGATCCCACACCTATGCAAAATTCTGCTGCCAAGTTTGAATCACATTTTGCAATGAGGTGGTTCTGTGGAAAGGGGACCAAGACCTAATGTAATTTGACACTAGTTGACCAATGTGCATAGTAAAATATATTTTCACATAAAATGTGGATAAGTTGCTTGGAGAGTTTGCAGAATACTCTAAAAATTTTCTCCACAAGGCCAACAAGCAGGCATCCATTAGTTTCCATCGAGACGGTTTAAGTTGGGGAGTTGCGGAGTAGTTTGGTAGTTTTAGGGGTGTCTGCTGTTGGTTTGTTAATCCCTCAGGCTACGGCCACACGGGCGTTTTTTCACGCGGTAAAATGTAGCTTATTTTCATGCTGCTTAAATTCCCGCTGTTGTATGCCACACGTGCGTTTTTTTCACGCAGTAAAATGTAGCTTATTCTCACACTCGTTAAAGTCCAGGAGCGGCAAAATGCAGTGGGAACCCGCAGTTGATTGATGAATTCACTTAATTATGTTGTATATCTTCCTCATGACCGGAATAGTAACCTTGTTTCTGACTAGTGAACAAGAAATATGAATGGTATATTGATTTCAATACGAAAACAATACTAAAATTATTTTATTTTGTTAACCATTCATTTCATTATTTACATTTAGTATAAAAAAATTAATATAATATGTTAATTTCGATACGAAAACAACAATACATTTTTTTGAGCGAAGCTCACTTTCCCTCACTTTGTAACTTCTTTGTAAGAGCATCAGAATGTAATTTTTGACCAATTGATATGAAATTTGGCCAACAGCTAAAGAATACTGAGCTCAATGTTTTGGTAAAAAATATTTGCAAATTTCCTTCTGGATTTTATTTTACGGTACACGCAATTTCACTTGTTATTTTAATGTAAGTTGAAATAAAAATTATATTGGGTTTGTGACATATGGGTTTATCTTGTTTCATTTAAATAAGATAAACATATGTTAATTGTTTGTAACTGTTTTGTTTCATCCTAGGTTAAAGTTGGATTACAGTTTATCAATGGAAGTAACAGTTTTGCTATATTTATTTTGAGCATGCCTCAAAGGCCACGTCGTAATATTGGTCGTCGCACGAATAATGCAAATATTATTGTAAGAGAGTGGCGTCGTTAACAAGAACAACCAGATGAAGCAGTGGCGGAAGAAGCTGATAATGATAGGCAGTTAGCTAATCAATTCCAACATGAATTAGATGCACTAAAATTTTACACTTGCACTAACTGTCATCGCCAACAACTAACAGCTTCAAACCAATCACCGATTTGTTCGCGTTGTCGTTCAAATGCAACTAAATTCACGGCGTTAAATAATATGGATGTGTCAAGTGTCCCGAACGAATTAACTGACCTGACGATTGTAGAACAAATGTTGATTGCACGAGTACATCCTGCTATGCCCATTTACAAAGTACAAGCAAATGGTCAGGATGGCCAGTTTCACTACAAAGGTACAGTATGAACTATCAGATAAATTTGTCATTCCTTAGAACTTAAATAATATCGGGCAAACAAACGGTGAATCTGATGAAAGGGAACATTTATTGTAGGGTGTTAGCTGCTTTAGCCATTGACAATCTTTAAATAATGCTTCGCTCATTTATGCGTCTAAAGTATAACGGCAGACCGCCCTAGTTTATTTTGTTAACCTTTCATTTAATTATTTACATTTAGTATAAAAATAAATATAATATAGCCTATTAATTTCGATACGAAAACAACACTAAAATTATTTTATTTTGACATTTAGTAAAAAAAATAAATATAATATAAATATTTTTATGACAAGATTTTCATCAGATCTTTGTATATTCTACTACATAAATGCCTCTTTACATTTTTTAGTCCAACTAAATGCCTTTCCTTTTAGTAACAAAATATTAAGTGGTCCAGTAAGGTAGACCTAAGTTTAAGATAAAACGCGTAGGTCTACTGTGTAATTGGCTAGACCCAAAAAATATTTTACGCTATCCTGGACAAAATTAGATACATTTATATTTATTTGAACTGGCTAGGACGACTCGATCAAAGCTGCGTGTTGCTCCTGCCCGTGTGGCCAATGACAGAGCGTGAAAACAAGCTTCAAAAATGCACCCCAGTCCATTCTTCTGCGGGCCTGCGGCGGTCGATTTTGAAGACGCGCCTAATCTGAAATCGCGTGAAAACACTCTCCGTGTGGCATACCTCATTACATTTAATGCTGCTCATATTTATTGCGTTTTTTCACGCTGCGTTCTTGCGTGAAAAAACGCCCGTGTGGCCGTAGCCTCAGTCAGTCACCTCACAATCTGCATGTGAAATTTTCCCTTATTTCTTCCTAACTTAATGTGTAATGTTGCAGGCTGTAGATAGTGACAGTGGAGGCCCAGAGTTACAAAATCTTATTGCAACGTCTCTGTCTCAACTCAAACACTCGGAGATGGCCTGGAGCAAGCTGTCAAAAGCCAACCCTCTCCTGGTCATGGCTAAGGACTTTGTAAGTAAAACTCTTTTATTTGGAATTAAAGTTAATTCTTAAGTATTATATTCATAACTAAAGCTAACAATGCTCCTGTTCTTTTTCACCGGTTTTTTTTTTTTTGCAATCTCCAAAAAAGTCAGTGTTGTTTATGATTCTGATCTTGAAAATATGAACATAGTCAGCGGCAAATTTGTGAAACTATTATTAAGGGACGAAGCCCTTAATTGATTAAATGTTTTAAGTTATAATGTATAAATCTACAGAATGTAGGCCTACTGTATTTTCCCACGATGTTCTGTTTACGGTCTGGTAAGTGAGAAAAAACAGATTTGTCAAAAGGGTAATACACTTGAGCAAAACACTCAAAATGGGAGTAAAAAATATATGCAATGAGACCTAACGCAGTAAATGGTAGATTTCCATGGGAAAAAGGTTCAATTCTACCAAATTTAGAAATTAGCAGTGTTGTAGTTTCTTTAGTGGCCGACATTTTCCAACAGCAATACCTCAAAATTTCTTTTGTTCCAGGCGGAGATCATATCAATATGCAAGGACAATATTTCTGCGCTGAAGTGTTTCTTGGACAAAAGTGAACAAGGAAATGGATATATTGAAGAGTGCCGAGAGATGAAAGGTAGGAAAATCTAGATTTGTTTTTGTTTGTTACATTTTGATGTGTTTTGATAAATAGCTATAATTTATTTATTTAAAGATGATGTTATTCTATGTAAAGGTGTTTTGTATTCTTATTAGTAATAGACGCCTTCACTCTGTAAATGGTATGTTAGATCTGATTTTTTATTTCAACCATCTTCTGGGAGTAAGAATTTCATACAAAGGAAACCACACTATTTTTATTAATCTTTAGCAACAGTTTTATCAAATGTTATATGTTAAGGTCAATACGGTTCGGTACGGTACAATATTTTGTACCTCGATTCTCGATACAAAATCAGTATACTCTGGTACGGTGCTACCAGTATTTTTGTCGTTTTCTTCTCAGGATTGTATTAAACCATCATTTTAAATTTGAATTCATTGACATTATTACTTTAAAAAAAATTGTAGGCCTATCCTACATTTATGGTTTTCTAAAAATTACAACACCACACGCACATTATTAAAACCTTTTATTCCTAACAAGTGTAAAAGAAACTTGTGTCAAGAAAGAAACACAGTTAATATAAAGGCTTTGCCTATTTTGAGTCATAGCATAGCCATGATAAATTGATTTTAAAATTTTAAGAATTTTTAGGAATAAACATGTTTGGAGCAACAATATGACAAGATAATTTTAACACAACACGGTGCATAACGTAGTTGTGACCTCCCCACACACGCTCAGTCCGGAACTACACAGTTTAGCCGGATCGTCTTAATACTGTTCTGTTAATACTGTTCAATGAAGTGGCGACCATACATAGTAGGTATTTTAAGCCAAGTATGAATGGAGATGAGCGTAGGATGAGTGGCGCAATCTTGTAGTTTTGTTAGTGACTAAGGCCGACATTCCTTAGACACAGCTGCTAATTATTAGCCCATACAGCTAATGGCAACTAAGGGACCTACAGTTTATTGTGGCATCCGAACCACATTTTTCCTTGGTATATACGAATTGGTCTAATTATCAGGTTACTTCACTTACTTAGTCGTAGTACTCACTCGTGCGGACATTAATCCACACCAGGGAGTATCGCATCCACAGTGCATGCCTATAAATATCTACAATTCGTGACCTCCTAGTAGCTGGATTACAGGACGACGCCACCCGTCCCAGTCTTGCCTCCTCTTGGTCTAATATGAGTTAAGCTCATTGAAGTACCACAATTTCAGAGCATAACCATCATCCGTTCCCATCACTGATTTTTGTGAAGATTTAAATTTTGTATACTCTTTTCTAAATGCAATCCGTTAGTTGTTTATTTTTTTCACCACAGTGTCCTTTGTTGCTTTTGGGTCAGTTTCGTTCACAAAATCTAATAACTCTTTATTTATAAGCTGCTTCCCTCATGTCCCTGATGCGGTGTTCTTTGCTTTTTATTTTCCAAACGCATTCGTGACCTCAGTATTTTTCTATGAATTCGAGTGTAAAGTCTCTTGACCAGGTAGACATGTTTAATGTGTTGTACTTATAACAATATCACTACACAACACTAAAACGCCAAAAGGCGCCAACTAGACTAACAACAACACAGCTCTGGTCTATGTTAACCAGACTGAAGAAGAGTTAACTTGCAATGAAGCAAAAAAGTCAGATGCGCAATCGATACTGCTGAAAATGTGGTGGGAGGAGTGAAGCAGCACTGTCTTGGACTGTGGGATTCAACACACACGTTCAGTGCAATTTGCATCATGTAGCTCCTAAACGAGTAGGTTTTATAGCGAAAATGCGAAGAGTGTCAAAAAATTTCGAAGAGTAAATAAGTCTTAAAATTGCGTCCACATTCCAAAAAGACCATAAAATATGTAAAAAATATTGATTCTATTATTTAAAAAATGGCGGCCATTTTCCAAAATGGCAGCAAACTTGAAAAGTGGAAAACTGTGTATTTTATGGTCTTTTTGGAATGTGGATGCCATTTTAAGACTTATTTACTCTTCACATTTTTGCTATAAATAAACCTACTCGTTTGGGAGCTACATGATGCAAAATGTTCACCGGAAGTAATTTTTTCATAGGCTGTAACTCCTAAACGAGTTGGGTTATGAAAAAAATGTCAAGAATTAAAAAGTTTTAAAATTGCATGTTCTATCTGAAAACGTAAAAACGTAATATTGAAAATTGCTGCTGATTTTCATAAAACTAAATTTATATTTTTAATTGCCATAAAAAATAAAGGAATGTCCTCCATTTAAAATTTTCTCTAATACTTACCGTATCCGATATCCCAATGGTGGCCTCCTTGAACTGATCACCCTGTACATTTGTGTACTTATATTCACAAACAACTGTTCTGTTCTGTTCTCATCTGGAGGAAATTCGGATTAAGCTTGCATCGGGATTGACAAATGTGAAATCTTGCATTAACTTGTGTTCTGTCCCAGCTTTGTAGTTATGGTCTAGCACCATCCGGAAGTGGGTGTAATCCAGGAAAAATCTTTAAATTTTAGTCATGAACACAGGAGTGAGAAAAGGTTTGGGGATGTTCTAGTGGAGCTGTATGAAAATTTTAGAGTAAACCCTAATTTTGTTCTATCTCAGGTACAACTTCTATGGTATGTTGCCATAATCTGCATGAGCTAACTACTAGGGATATATACCAGATTAAACGTTTAGTTAGAGAGCGGATTTTTAATTCCTTCCTGATATTCAGGATGAGAACGGGACTCGAGTTCCCAACAATATCACCTAGCTTAATGAGCTTGTGATTGTTATTTCTTATGCCTGGGCAAAAAGAGTTTGTTTTAAAAATCTTTAGTAAAAATTCTTGCAGATGGTAATTATGACAAAAAAAAAACAATTTTAAGTCTTTATGGCTCTGTCCTATAAAAACCATTACTCAGTAGAAATACTTAGGTAACAAAAGCCGTTGACATATTTGGTGCATTTGGTTACCAGTAGAAAGCAGGTTTAGCTTTAACAACCACAAATTTTAACAAACAAACAAATTTTAATTTTTGTACCTAACAATGCCATCATGACTATAATCCATGATCTCAATCGAGTACATCACCCTCCGCAGCGACATAATCTAAACAACTCCTACAATCATGGAGCGTATTATTAACAGGTCCTATCATTGTGACGTCATTTTGAATGTCCTGCAATCACGGCGCCATGTCAACCTGTCCCACATTTGCAGCTTCACCTTTGATCTCCTTTGATCATGGCACCATCATTAACATGTCCCACTGTTGGGGCGTCATTGTGAACATTTCCAGCAGTTGTGAAGCTAACATGAACATCTTTCATGTTTTCAGCGCTGTCATAAACATTTTTTTTAATCAAGGTGTCATAATTAATTAACCTGTCCCACATTCACAGCGCCATTTTGAACATATCTAGCTTTCCCGATAATGGTAAAAACGTTAACACCATCTACAGTCATGGAGTCATCATCATTGTTCTGGGTTTGCAGAACCATTGTAAAAATCTCCTGCGATGGCAATATATCATCATTTCCTAACACACTGGCAAAATTTACCGCAATTGTGAAGACATCATCATCTTCACTTGCAATGCAGCAAAATCTATGACAATTGGAACAAATTTTATTTTGGGAAAATTTGAAATTAAATTCAACCCCATTCCAAAGAAAATTAGTGTACTAAATTTTTAAGAAAATTGAATCTCATGCCCATCCCTACAAGTGCAAAAGTATTGGTTTTCCGAAGCTTTTTGACTAAACGGCCATGCCCATCCTACCACTAATCTTAGAGGACACCAGTTTATTACTTGAATCTGTAGACAGCTTCATCAAAAGAAAACTTTCTTGTATTTCATTTAGCCATTGAACATTTAAGAAATGCCTTTACACCTAACAGGAAAACTGTACGGTACATAAATGCACAATGTTTCTTTACAGCAAAGTATTGGTACAAAGTTCATTGCTGAAGAGCACTGTTTGCCGTTTGAACGTGTTTATAGTGACACCTGAGGGAATAAGGACTATACCACAGAAAACATATTACTATAACCCAGAATGCCAACCGCGTGGTAAAAAGCATTAAGTGTTTTGAGAGAGCTTTGCCTGTCAACCGTAGGCAGCGCCACCAGCGTTGCCATGCACTCAGCATAGCAACGCTGGTGGCGCTGCCTACGATTGACAGGCAAAGCTCTCTAAAAACACTTAATGCTTTTTACCATGCGGTTGGCATTCTGGGTTATAGTAGTATGTTTTCTGTGACTATACTCAGTTCACAAAATTTAGGTGGTTTGAGGGGAAGCAATTCCATCCCCTCTACCTCACTCTTAACATTGAAATAACAGCTGACAGCTAATCAGCTGATATATTAATTAAGCTGAAAAAGTGGTGGGGGAATCCAGGAAACCTTTCCCCTCTAAACACCTACATTTTGTGAAGAAACTTTAGTACAAGCTTTAATAAAGAAATGCAGATTAGTACAATCTTATATCTAAACCAGATGTCATGGCTGATAATGAACATATCTGGACCCTAGCAATATTTTAAAGGTAGAAGAACTAAATTTTGAAATCCCCACCCAACAGAAAGTCTAAGGCCTCAACAGGATGTCAACAGATAGGCTAGTTCTTGTCCTCTTCCCTAAACAAATGCAAAACAAATTTGTCATCACCTCGCATTAACGGGCGGAGTTTGAGAAAATTCTGAGATTCCATTATTGCCACTGATGGTCTCTTGACCTTGCAACTAGGGGTGTGCAAATAGGGGTTTTTGGGTTTGAATCAATTTTTTTATAATATTTTCGAATATCGAAAATTACCGAGCAAATATTTACATTATTATCTGTAAAGAGTCAAGCTCACTATTTATTCTTAAAAATAATTTTCCACTCAAGTACTCACACACCCCTATCATTTATGTTGTTTTGGGTATCTATTATATATTAATCCAAAAATTAAAAACATAAACATATATAGTTTGTAGCCGTTAAACTCAACTAAAGAATTGCAAAAAAGAAAGTTTTACACTAAAGAAACAACTGGAATTAACA